AAAGCTAAATTAACAGAAATCACTTTTCTTCAACAACCTAGCTGTCCCCGGCAACGGTGCCAAAAACTTGACTCACTTCTACTGTCACTCCAGGAATTGGCCAAGTGAAACCACTTCCTAAAGCGTAGTATAGCGGGTTTGGGTTTAAATGTCAACCCGGGTCCTAGATTTGATGACTACTCAGTGAATTCTTGTTATCTAGAAATGAAACTTTAATGCAAGTCTAAACTAATAAACAAACAAAGCAAGTAAACTGTTGTATTCAGGTTAAGAGAGATCACCCGGATATGGTTCCCCCTAGACTGCAGTTAAGCCGGATTGTAATTACCAAGTTCAGTTTCTATGATAGTTATACCGCGGAAGGTTCTTAAACAGCCTGAAGTCTCGACTAAAGGTCTTCAGACCCTCTCAATCTGAGTCTCTAGCGGGCGACTAACCTCCACCGGAGTAAACAGATTGAGGCCCTATGAACAAAACCTCCACTACCGGAGTAAATCCGGTACAGAATAGTGAGTTGGCTCCTCGACTAAAGTCACCAACTCCCTACCTTCAATCAAGGATGCTCTATCAACCTAGGCAGATATTCTCATTCTAGGTTAAAGCAGAAACAATAAGAATTTGATCAGGATTCATACCATTCAATCAATCAAACCTCAATCGAATATAATCAAATCATAGAATCAGTACTTGGGTTCATACAATCAAAGCCTAACATACAAATCTAGGGTTCTCCATACCCAGATGAATGGGAGAACTACTCCATAGAGAAAGAAGCAAAAGCAGAATCAGACGCGGAATTCATACTGTGAAGGATGGATTCCTGCTCTTGGACGTGGATCGGCACTTCTCCAAGCTCAAACTGGCCTCCAATGGTGATGAAGATCAAGCTAGGGCACTTGGAGACTCTTGTTCGTCACTTTCTCTCTCTAGGAATCGCTCTATCTCTCCAAAAACTCGAATCCTCTGATTTTCAGCCTTCTTTTCCATTAAAACAGCTGCCTGTCGCGATACCCGGTCGAAATACCCGGTCGGGTATTTTGGGTCACGACCGGGTATAGTTAAAACGCACGTTTTGGCCAGGGGAAAATACCCGGTCTGCTCTAATAATCCCCGACCGGGGATTTAAGCCTCACGACCGGGACCCCTCCTGTTTCTCAGACGCCAAAAAGGGAAAATCCCCGGTCTCCTCAGAATAATACCCGGCCGGGTATTTGTGGTTATGGCCGGGTATTTTCTTCCTCCAGCCCGCTTCAAGCCTCACTTGCTCCTTTCGACCCGAATCTCGTTCCTTCGCCTCGATTCCAATGCCGGGTCCTGAAATATGACATAAACACACAACCTCGCGTGAAATCGGCTTAAAACCCGAGAATCAACCTCTCAAATAGCCCAAGAATAGGGGTGAAAATACGTGTAATTATCGGTCTATCATTGTTCTTTCCCTTGAGAAGCAAATCTCTCAAAGAAAGCACTCTTAGTTCTTCCAGGATTTGAGTGATTTCTTCCGCTATCACTATTTCTTTGAAAAGACTCATTATGTCTTTGATTTTGATCAGAAAAGCAATTATTCGATGCTGAATAACGACTAGTCATCCAGGAAAACGAGCATTAGAAAAGCGATTGTGAGACTCATAACGACCCCTATTCTCTGCATCACGTTGCTTCTGATCATTTTTGAACTTCATCATACGATGAAATTTCTTACTAACCAAGGCCAGTTCTTGTTCAAAATCAGAATCAACTTCATTATCATATTCATATTCATACATACGACTCTTGAAAGCAAGACTCTTTTTGCGCCTTTCATCTTCCTTTCCTACCTGCCTGATAACATGTTCATGACTGAGAAGGGATCCAATTAGTTCATCAATAGTCAACGTGTTAAGATTTCTGGCTTCTTCAATGGCTGTATGTTTAAGCAGCCATTCCTTTGGTATGGATCGAAGAAGCTTCCTAACCATGTCCTTTGATGCAATAATTCTACCCAGACCTTTCAATTTGTTAATCAGACCAGTAAATCTAGAGTACATATCATGAATCCCTTCACTAGGTAGCATATCGAAGGTCTCGTGTGTTCATGCATAAGTAAGTCTATACGAGTTTCCTTGATGTTAGACGTACCTTCAAACATGGTTTCAAGAATGGACCAGATTTCATTCGCGGTTTCGCATTGCTCCACCTTGTCAATCTCATCAGATGAAATGGCTATTTGCAGAATGTGCATGGCTCGACAATTTAGTTGTGCACTCTTCTTCTGCGCATCGTTCCAATCGTCTTGTCGATTGGTGTCCATTTCTATCGGCCCATCTTGGACGACAGTCCAGAGGTCTGCATCAATCCCCCACAAGAAGGTTTTCATCTGTTTTTTCCAGGCATTGTAGTTTGAGCCTGTAAACCACAGTGGATTATGATGCGACGCAGGACCGAACGCAGCAGGAGAATTGGTTCCCATGAATCGTAACCTTTGGCAGTAGCTAGCTCTTCAAACCAGGCTCTGATACCACTTAAAGGTCGATTTTAGGATTAGGGATTTAGAGAAATTTGGGAGAAAGGAAAATGTCGAATGAAGAAGATAACATAACAGAAAGAGCTTATGTCCTTCTTCTCGCAGGTCTGTGGGCCAAAACGAAACAGAAGCCCACTGAATAAAATAAAGTGAAATTGGGCCTGTTATCAAACACGGCCTCTCCACAGAAACAACACTTGCTCTTCTTTTAGATTTGCAGAAGCGAAACCAGAGTTAAGCAGCAAGAATCAAAGATCAGAAGCAGGAACAAGGATACAACGATTTAACGAGGTTCACCAAGAATGGCTACGTCCTCATCCCGGTAATAGTCCACACTACTACCGAGAGACACTATATTTTCTGTTTTATAGACACAGTTACAAAGCAAAGAAACACACGAAACTAACAGAGTTCAATCCAAACTCCGTTCCTTCCTGCCACTCTCACAGAACCTATATACCCCTGGAGAAAATCCCTCTTTTGTTCTTGACAAACTAACCCTCTACCGCTATTCTCAGAGATTACAAAAAATAATTGAAGAGACCAAGAACTATCAATTATATACTCCTCCTTTAGCTAGCCGTTGGTGAAAGGAGTCGTTGCTGATTAGCTTTGATTGAGCAGAAAGTTACCAAAAATGGCAGACTTCCCTTTAAAGACCAGGTCATAGCTCTGATCTCGACCAACAGCCTTTATATTCAATTTTTCTTGATAATCAACTAACTAATATAATATTATCATTATGAAAATGAAATCAATGATACATTTTTATATTCTTAAATAATGATGTTATTTCTTCGAGTGTTCGACCTATATATTTTTTCTTTATGTATCATCTTGATCGAAGAATTGTAAAAAAATTAAACAGGTTGATAGATTTAAACATAACATAAAAATATAAATTATAAAATATGAACATTCCGACCAACAGTCTGGTTATAAGCTAGTTTCTAAGAAGAAATTAGTAGAAATGAAATCCGATTCCCTCAATTCTTTTTTCTTTTCAAACGAGTGGTTCGGAATTCGTATCATCAACCCGTAAAGTAAATATCTCTTTCTTCTTCGAGCTTCTATCACTCTTCGTATTAGGGGTGGCAACCGGTCGGTTTCGGTTTAACCGAAAACCGAATTTCCGGTTTTCGGTTAAACCAAGACCTGACCAAAAGCCACCGGCCACCGACCGACTTCAGAGCCCCGGTTAGCCGCAAACCGACCAGGCGGTTTTCGGTTCAGGCGCGGTTAAACCAGGGCGACCGAAAGATTGATGTGCGAGCTAACCGCCCAAAAATCGACTTGCCTGGCTGGCTCCCCAGAAATTAAAACAACCCATTTGATGATAACAAGTCTAGAAATTAGAAAACAACAAACCGTCCAAATCAAGAGATTCATGAAATTAAAACACATCTAAAAGTCCATCCCCAAACAAAGATCCAAATTCCAAACCCAAATCGTTCCAGCCTCATCTCGCTGGCTGCTGATTTCAGTGGTTATCCTTGACAATGGTGACTGGGCAAGAAGCCGCGTTCATCACATACGAGCTCACGCTTCCCATTAATATCCTGCTCCTCTCTCAAATTAACAAAACAAAACAGAATGGAATCAGGACAAATTAAAGTTTCGGAAGAAAGGGTTCCGTTCAAACTTTTACACATATCATTTCAATAGTAACGATTTCTCCCACCTCTTCACAGTTCCAAGCCCTCTGCTTCCCATGACAACAGAGTCCAGCTTCAACCCTTTGATCGCGTCAACGATCCCGTCCCTCGCGTCTCCTCCCCAGTAAAGCTTCGTCACGACTTTGATCTGAAAACAAACAAAGAAAGAAAAACATCAGTCCAAACTTAGCTCCACGCCTCCACCCGCCATCAATTCAATCGTCGCCCACACTCAACAGCTTCAACCCCCTTTTTTTCTTTTTAGCTCTTTCTGCCTGGTAACAGTGTCGAGCAGAGTGAGGACGTCGGTATCTGGCTTCAAGTCGTACCCCTTCATAATCTCCGGCTCTCTAAACTCCGACAGCGGAATCAAAGCTTCTCAGAGGCAAAACGTCGAACAGGTACAAGGGACAGAAACCCAGATCAGATCAGGCGATGAAACAATAACAGAGAGAGAAAGAAGAAGAAAAAAATCCCGTTTTGGGGGGAAAACAAACAAGAAGAAGACTTACGAGATCCTTTTGGTCTCTGTGACTGATTTGGGAATTGGGACGAGGAGGGTCGACTGCGAGGGTGGAGGCGGCGAGGTGGAGGCGGCGACGATGGTGGAGGGGGGGAAGGGCTGGTTGGGGAAGGCGAGAAGGGTGGAGGGCTGGAGGCTGCACGATTGATTTTGGAATTGGGGAGGAGGAGGCTGCGAGTTCAGGATGACTGCTAGGGTTCGACTTAGACACTTAGTGGGGCGGCGTCGTTTAAGAGGAAAGGAAAGGGTCGGTTAGCCAGTTAACCGCCGGTTTCCGACCCCGGTTAGTCGGCTAACCGGCCCCTTGATTTCCTCTACCGCCAACCGACAGCGCTCTTCAGGTTCGATTTTTTGATTAGCCAAAAACCGATCGGTTCGGTTGAAACCGTCCGATTAACTGCTAACCTGAAAACCGTCCGCCAGCCCTACTTCGTATCTATAACATTAATTTGCCCATCCATTTACAGCAGCTCAGTGCTGGATTCAACTGAGCTCTCCAATGTCGTCGTCGTCGTCTTCTTCTTTTCTCATCCCCCTGAATCCGCCGCTTTCAATCATCCAACGCCACAAGCCGCCTCCCTCGCTTCCTCTTCTTGCGCTCTACTCCAAGCCTTCGCTCCACAAATCTCTTGTCTGCCATGCTCACTCCTCCGCGAACTCTTCCGATTCCGATCGCGAGGAAATTCTTTGGCACCGCGAAGAGCAGCGGTGGCTCCGCGAGGAGCAGCGGTGGCTCCGGGAAGAGCAGAGGTGGCTTCGCGAGCGGGAGTTGCTTTTGAGCGAAATTCAGTCGCTGAAGCTCCAAATCCAGGCCTTGGAGAAGACGATTCCGGTTGTTGGAGCTGATGCGGTACCGACGAATGTTGGAGCGTTGCTGCAGGTTTTGAAGGACCGGAGCTTGATTCTAGAGAGCGCGTCCAGTGCGACTCCGATCATACTGGAGGAGAACGTGGAAGAGGAGGCGGCGACGGCAGAGTCACAAGCTGCTGGTGTTGTGGAGGTGAAAACTGAGGAGACGAAGTCGAAGAAGAGGATAGCATTGAGAGCGGGAAGCGAAGGAGAGGAGGTTCGAGAGATGCAGGTGTGCTCGCAATAATACAATCCTGATGCATTTCTTCTTAGGAATTTTGTAGCCAAGGCGAGTTGTTCATTTGTTTTCCTCTTCATTTCTATGGCTTTTCCCCAAGTGAATACGTTGTTATTCCTTCGAATAAACTGTGTGGAAGAAACCTGTAATAGTGAATTTGCGGTTCCAACTTTTCTGCTGATATCTATCTGGTTTGCTTGTTGGTTGGTTGCAGGAAGCATTGCAAAAACTGGGGTTCTACTCAGGGGAGGAGGATATGGAGTTTTCCAGTTTCTCATCTGGGACTGAGCGTGCTGTCAAGACTTGGCAAGTAAGTCGAGAATGCACTAGTTTCTGTTATTATCACCGAAAACAGTGGTCTATTTGTGTGGATTCTCATTGAAGAACTCTTAGTAAAGATAATAAGTGTGGATATAATGATTGAGAGCCTTGGCAGGCAACATTAGGTGCTCCAGAAGATGGAATAATGAGTGCCGAATTGCTCGAAAGGCTGTATGTGGAGACGAGGACCGCGGTTGAAACTCTAGATAGCAGCGCAGACAAGAAGGCATATGAGAGGAGCTCTCTCAATTTTCCACTGAAGGTATCCTTGTCGTAGCACTCAAATCAGTTCTTATGTTACCATTACTGCTGGCTGCCGCCTATCGTTCTTGCTTCAAAGACCATGTTTCAAGTGGCAATCTGGGTACTGTTTAGGCGTCTCCGCTCTTAGGCACGTACACTATATGCCTTTAAGAGGTCACATGCATGAAAGGGTAGTAGATTCAGCAACCATTACGATTTGCTTCTCTGCATATATGAACATTTCCCATGTCAATGGGCACCTGGAAAGCAGTAGCTACTTGTTTCCAATATGCTGCTTACCCTGCTGGAAGTTCTTAACAGGGCGATGAGAATGGGACTGCAGTTCCTCTCATGACTGGAATATCAGAAACCAACCAGAAAGTGGTGAAGGATGAAGGTGCCAAGGAAGTCGAGGCATCTAAGCACCGAGTGTTTCTCCTTGGTGAGAATAGGTGGGAGGAACCGTCGCTGCTTATTGGCAGAAACAAAGAACGCACTGCAAGTAAGGTGACGAGGACCACAAAGTGCCTCACTTGTCGTGGTGAACGCCGTTTGATGTGCACAGGTACTTCTTGCTTCCTCTCATTTTGCCTGCTACCAATCAAAATCTAATCACTTCGGATAATAATCGTAAAATAAAAACAGTTATTGCACTTTGGTATCCAAGATGCTCCATCAATATTGGGAATACTGTTTCATGGTATAAATTATGTGTTCTCTTCTGCTGCAGAATGTGATGGAACAGGGGAACCGAATATAGAACCACAGGTAAAGAACTACTGCATCCAACTATGCTCAATACGTTGCAGTTAATATCTTTTTGGTTAATTACACACCTGCATTGCTGAGAGCTCTTTAATTTCAACCCGGGGTTGCAGTTTCTGGAATGGATAGGCGAAGACACTAAGTGTGCATATTGCGAAGGCCTTGGGTTTATAACTTGTGATGTATGTGATGGTAAAACAGTTTCCTAGGTAGGTTGCTCTCCACCAGTATCGATTTTTAGACTTTTAGACGAAGTAGCTGAAAGAGAGCATATACAGAAGCCAACTCGTTTGCCTGTAATAAATAATTCTTACAGTATCTCATGTATCAACGTATGCAAGGAACAAAAGCATATTTTGTGTACGTTCCAACATCTGCATAATATTCTTACAGAAAGCCAAAGTGCGATAGAAACCAGTTATAATCTCGCTTATTCCTATAACATCTAACAAAGGACCATTCCCGTCACTGACCAAATAGTTCCGGCTAACTCTCTACTAGTTCCAGCTACAGCATCTAGTAAGAAGCAGAATGGCCTACAGTACATCTAGTGCTCTCTCACCTAATTTAACACGTCTGCCCGAGCCTGAGGGTCTGGCAAAAGCAAGGGTATCGTTTCTTTTCATAGAATGAATTGATAAATTCCATACGAATGATATGCTCCCCCTCTCACCTTTCTTTTACTAGGTATTACTATTTAGTATTTACATACTTGTCTTTGGTTTCTTAGCACCATCAACGCGCCTGCTCACAGATCGCATGGTGACGAACTCTTCAGCAGCAGAAGGGTGTATTCCCACCTGTTGCATGCAACATGGCCACATTATAAACCGTTTAGGGCATAGATTGAAATAGATAATCTCTTTCCCTTGCAGGCTTGCAACAACAAAAGTGGCTTCAAATTGGATCCCCCCCGAAGAGCCAAGATGCATCAAAACATGACTCGATAAAAGAAACAAATGACTCACCGTGCTGTCAAACTGTGCCTTTGTCGCTCCACACTTGAGCGCAATAGCAATGCCCTGTCAAGCAAAGAAGGCAGCGAAAACCAACGATTTTCAGTAAATGAAAGACTGCCTGCACCCAAACTAAATTAAACTAGAAAATCAAGCAAATGACAGACGCTCAGAAGTTCTGTAGAATCTGTGCAACATGGAAATACAGGGAAAAGGCAAGAAAAACAGAACAGTGTGCCAACAGAAAGGAGAAGGAATGAAGCAGAATGCAAAAAGCACACGAGGAAACATAATGTACCTGCATAATTTCAGGTGCATCCGGACCGCACATGGAAGCTCCCAAGACCTTGTCCGTATCAGCATCGACAACAAGTTTCATGACTGTCTTCTCTTGTCGTCTGTGACCAATGGCGACAAATTAAGCAGTGCAGAGCTCAAACATGCACAGTCAAGACCATTAATATCACTCTATACTCAAATTGGAAAGACGGTTGGTTAAGTAGTCCTCATTTGTCAGTGACAACAAAACTAGAACAAGAAAAAAGTGCATGGTGTGGTTACAACCCTTTTGAGATATTGAAGTTATAGAAAATAAGGTTTCTCATCTTCATCCTCTAAAACCAAACCAGTTAACAAGACAACACAATCATCATGCATACCCAGATATGGTATTCCTCATAGGATTGAAGCTTGAAGTGAATACTAATATATCGCCAGTTGCTTGTTCAATTGCTTGCTCTTCACTCAGGCCGACAACTGAAAGGGGTGGTATGCTGTGAAGTAGTAGATCATATGTCATCACAATAAAAAGGCATGAAAGCCAAATGTACAAAATACAAGCTGAAAGTCTTTACCTGAACACAGCACATGGTATATGATCGTAGTCTGGTTTAGTAGGTTCCCCACCGAAAACAGTTTTCTGCAAGCAACATAAAAAATATTAAGAGAAGATAATTGAATGTGGTGTTATTAAATTTGTTTTCTTTCAAACACCAAAAGGCAGATAGAATATGTAAACATATGTCGGCAGATTAACAAAGAAGTTGAAAGTGTAGGATGAAAAGGGTGTAAACAGACACATACTGCAAAACATGTTCCCTCCATTAAGGCAACAGGTGTAAGATTCATTCGATTTGTGACATCACCAATGGCCCATATGCTAGGTATGTTTGTCTGTGAGTGCTCATTGACCTGGAAAACAGAGCTAACGAAGAACTTAGTACTCCAATCAGTAACATATCTAAATGACACTATAAGCATGAAACGCAGAGTTAGATGAACAATATCCCTTTACAAACGATAACATGTTTATCATGGACAACAAGACATCATTACCACCTAAAAGTACTTAAGACAAGACAATTTATTGACCAGTTCAATCCAAACAATACAAGAAATAGGGTATATGTACCATCTAGTGTCTCTCTAAATTAACAGTAGGGGAAAATTAACCATCCTTCATCTTGATCTACGGTCAGGATAGAAGTCAGGAATGAAAAGGCTACGTAGAACAAAATAATGATAAAGAAAACATTACTGACCTTGATAGCTCCCATCTTGTCAACCTCAACACCTACAGCTTCTAAATTTAATCTTTTTGAATTTGGGATCCTTCCTGTAAGAAATGCAAGAAGAAATTTAATGAGCAAAAGACTACTCTAATTAGTGAGAGAGATATCTATTGATTCCGCATTTCCACAGAAGGCAATAGTAGTATGGTGATATCTAAAGCCAATTAGAATGATTTTGGGAGATATGTGAAATGAGCACCCCAAATTATGAACTACATTGACATGGTAGAGTGAGACTGTTACAACCATATCAGAAATCTATTCTTATGTACACTTCAATGCACATAATTACAAGAAATGAATGTTGGCCTAATTGATCAAGCTGTAAGTAGCCTCAAGTTAAGTAAGCTTCAGAAATCAAGCACCAATTACCTGTAGCAAAGAGTACCACATCTGCGACCAATTCTTCTCCATGATCTGTTCGAACTTTTATTCCATCTTCAGTTTTTATCAACTGAAATTTCAGAGAAGAAAGCAGGTCACGTTTCATGTTATCGTGATAATAAACAAAGAGTCAAAGACCATCAACAAAAGTTTTAAGTGAATTAAGAGGTGGCACAAGAAAACAAAATAATAGGTTACTTGTTGATTCTAATCCTAATCAAAGAGTACCTCAGTGAGATTTGTTCTTGGATGCATATTGATTCCTCTCCCCTCAAGATTTCTTGCAACCACTGCTCTCATTTCATCATCAAAACCTCTGCATTGGCAATGTACATTAGTTAAAGAAATACAATACAAGAATGATTGTGTTAGTAAGACGAATCACATACAGTAAATTATCTTTAATTCCAAGAGCTTATTTTCAAGCAATGGTGATTGAAATAAGATATTCCTAAAGTCACAAGGACTTAACTGTTTCTTGTTTTGGCTTTTCTGGCTGAGAAAATATATTCCCCAAGTTCTAAGGATTTAAATTCTTTTGGCTTAACCATAAAAAAATATATATATATATATATTTTGCCTTTGATGGTGATCATGGAAGGAGGCATGGATTAGAACTATTTCTTTAATGAAAATAGGTATACTGGATCTTCGGAAGGGAATCAGCAGTAACATCATAGCATGAAAGAGATTTTTGGTGATTCTACATTTAAAAGGTCAACATTCTTTTCAGGGAAAAACACCACATCACAAACTTATTTTAAAAACATTATTGAGTAACAAAAGTGTCCATAAAGTCGGAGCCACAATCAACATTCAAGTGCTTTTATCTCCTCATACCAAACATAAATAACCCTATTTCTCTGTCTTTGACATAATCTTAATAGACAAAATTAATTACAACTTGACACATTGGCTTCAGCTTAACCTGATCGTTAAGCCATCCATTCCACTAAAAGGTACTATTATGAATGCAAACAGTTCTCAGCATCAAAATATAATCAACAGCAAGAATAAATCATAACCTCAGTGGAAGTTCCTTTCTGAAAAAGAGATCCACAGAAGCACCCATTCCACGCCATATAGAAGCAAACTCAACAGCAATGTACCTTCACATCAAATGGAATAGCCATCACAACCCAGAAACGTAAGATCTTACGTGAGATAGAAAAAAATCTTTAGACCTAACAAATTAAAGCTCTTTTTACCCTCCTCCAAGCACTACAGCACGTTTAGGCATTTCTTCCAAGCTCAAGGCCTCGTCAGAAGTTATAGCCAACTCCTACATTATAAAAAGGAGAGATTATGTGATGCAAGAAATAGAAATACAACGGAATGAGGAAATTCTTGAAATGAAAGAACAAAAAGAATGTACAATCAAACACAGTGGAAAGAAGTAAGAAAGAAACAAATTTAGTCAACATATGACACATGGATCTGCGATATGTTACCTAAGTACGCAGCTGTCAAAGGAAAGAAAATCACCTGTCCTGGAATAGCAGGGCTGTGCGCCCTACTTCCAGTGGCTATCAGTATATGTTTTGCTGAGTAGCGCAATTTAGTTCCATCTAACTGAGTAACTTCAACTTCATTGGGACCAACAACTCTTCCCTCGCCTTCATACAATTTAACCCCGGCATTGGACAACAACCGCTTGTAAATTCCATTCAATCTGAGTATTTCATCGGTCTGCAGATGCAAATGTAAATCACCCCCGATGAATAACAGTACAGGCCACATATTATGTTTAATGTAGGAAAAAAACATGTACTGACCTTCTTCTTCAACAGCTTTTTCCAGTTGAATTCCAGGTTTTCTTTCAGTTCCCATCCATAGTTCCTTGCATCCTTCAAGAAGATTAAAAAAATAACCATGAACTATCTATCATCAACAATTGTTGGTAAATTGAGAAAAAAACAATACAGTATCGTCCTAATCAAAACTGATCCCAGTATTTCAAAAAGAAAAGGTCCAGCATTCCTGCCCCAAACAGTTGAAAAGCATTCAGTTGATAATCTATACACTTCAGAGCTACCTGACAGTCGAGATTACAAAATCTTTACACATGAAGTCTGAAGACGAACTACGCAGCTGGTTATCAAAATCCTTCTAAATATACTACAGACGCATTTCATGGGCATCTACACAAGTCGCAAAAAATGCATTGAACTCATTTCAAAAGACCATCCAGGAAACTCAAATCAGTCATTCCTGATGGTATCACAAACTCACCTCAAGTTCACCACCAAAAGATGCTCCATACACCAAAATCTTCTTGGGAACACAACCACGAATAACACACCTACAATAAAGAGTGGTGGTAACCTCAGTGATAAGACCAGATGAGAAAATAGCTATACCAAGAAAACAGAACTTGCAGTCCCAGAGAACCTACGTTCCACCAACTCCTCCAATCACTTCAGAGCTGATAGGATGAAATGGAAGCTCACATATGCCAACCTTCAAAAATTAATTTCTGCATTAGCAGAGTGTAGTTGCACATCCAGAAAACCATTAATATGGAGTATACAGATCCAAACAAAGCTAATACTGGAAATCCAAGTTGATGCTGTCCCCATAGTATTACAGATCGTCTAACAGTGAAGCTAAGACATCAAGAATCTAATTCTAGTAGCTGATGAATCGTTTACATACGGAAGTGTGTTCCATTGCAGGATCGCCATCCTCCAGCGAATCTACACAGCTCGAGTATACTATTCTATCACAGCATGATCAAGGAGCAAAGAAATACAGCTTTACCTTCTTAGCTCCAAAATTAGTAGAGAATCTAGAAGCACGAACACCGCCACTGCCAGCTCCAATGACGAACAAGTCAAAATCAAAGTGAGCCTCCTCGGCCTCGTTGGTCTGGCTCAGCTCTCCATCGATAAGCATTTTCCTCGCCATGATCTCGATATACTACTGCGACCAGAAAACGAAACGAAAGATAAGCAGAACATTTCTCTTCGATTTCTGGACACGACAAATCTAGGCATCTCGAGCTAGGCAACTGTAGGGATCTTACTTACCTCGTGTGAAACTACTACAGCAAATCGATCTGGCAAGACGACGGAGCGCAGCAGAGAGACAGACTAGGGTTTAAGAAGAGTGGAAAAGACCGAATGAGGTAGTGAAATGAACTCAAGCTTAAAGTGCAGGTCGGGTTCTGCTCGGTATGTGATATTGTGATTTGCACAGCTCCACGATTCGAAGGCGAAACACCGAGAGCCGCCAGCAAAACTGATGATGAGAGCAAAATTGCAAATTCAAATATTTGCAGTAGTGGTCCTGCCACACGGCCGTTTTTGCAGAACCATTCCCCGCATCACGGACGTGCCTGTACGTGTATGTGGGCACCGGGCCGTGCCGCCCACGGGCTAGCACGGCACGGTTAGAACACAGCACGAGCACGGGCAAGAAATAAATGGGTAAGCCCGGCACGAGCACGAATAATTTATTGGCCGTGTTGGGCCTAAACTTCACGAGTACGGGCACGGCACGGTATATAAGTGGGTCATGCGGGCCTAATATTTTCGAGACTTTCTTGAGTATAAGAACGGACATGGCACAAAAATAATATTTATTTTATAGAAAATAAATATAAAAAGAATTATAGGTTCAAATATTACAAAACATAAGGAGAAAAATAATTATTTGTTGTTGTTAGAAATGTCATAAAGATATATATGTAATTACTAGCATAAGTAAAAATGGACAAAGAATTAAACAAAGCCAAATCACACTCGCTATACTTCCAGTTTTCTTTCCCCCCTTATTTGTTACTTTTCTCAAACATTATCGGTTAATACTATCTTCCTCCGTCCTATTTTCACCTTCTTTTTTATTATCTCTTTTGTTTTCGTCTTTTTTATTAAACACGAATACGAGCATGATACAAGCACGAATAGGCACGGCACGATTCAAACCGTACCCGCGCCTGGACCGGGCCTAGCAAAGTTATCAAATGGGCTTGTATGGCACGACACGAAAACTGACGGGCCGTGCCAAGCACGGCACGAAAAAAATGGGCCCGAAGCGTGCCTGTGCCGTGCCGGCCCAAGCACGGCCCAGCGCCCCATGTACAGACGTGCCCAACCTAAATCGTAAGTCAGGCAAGCGATTCTCCATAAGTCTTGGAGAGTTGGAGTACAAGATGGTTATGAAACCATAAAATCAATTTGCGATGGTCCATTTCAAAGATATCAGTTGTCTGGTTTTTATTTTTTAGGTAAATACAATTTAATAGTTAAATCTTTTACCCGAAAATAAAATAATAGTCAAACCTTTTCAAAAATAAATTATTAGTCAAATCGTTAACTTTTCACCTGGTCACTTGGTCAATCGTCAGTTGACTCCGACGTGGAAAGAAACTATACATGTCAGCTCGTTTTTACTAATGTGGCAACTAGTAAAAATTAATGAATCATTTTATTGTTCAAATTAAAAAAGAAAAGGAAAAATGATGTCACTATCTAATCACACACACTCTCTCTCTCCATTCTCGTCCACCCATTCTCCCCGTTCAAATTCCTCAAAGACGAAACCCTTTCCTCCGGCGAAACCAATCCCCGTCGCCCACCACAGAACCAAAATTAACGGCACCGGCTTCGTCCCTCCTCATGTGAAGGCCGGAAAAACACGAGCGTCGCCCCCGTTCGTGCATTCCCAGGCCGAGGCTTTTGGCGAAAGAGACGTCAGAGCGCTGGCGAGGAGACGACGAAGAGCTGGCGAGGAGAAGACGGAGCGGTGAAAGAGACGACTGATTTAGGTACGCATTCCCTGATTTTGCTTTCAAACCCTAGGTTCTTTAACCCTATTTGATTGAAATTACCCTCTTTTATAGTAGTGCGATTTTGGTGGAATCTGGTTTGTGAGGACCACAACGGGACCACTGAAAAAATAGTCACGAAACTGCCCTTGCATTACAAGGTATGAAAGCATAAGCATAGGATTGAACTGTAATTGTACTGCGAGTGAAAAGTCATCTTCCCGGGAAAGTCACATATAGCTTTTTGCTTCTTTTGATATCGCAGATGACAGAATATTTGGGTATTCTATACCAGCATGGTGGGGTTATGAACGTCTCGGGATCAGGACCACGATATGTTGGCGATTTTTCCAGAGAAGATAGCAGTATATGTTGATGAAGTGTGTTACTTCGAGCATTTGAATGTGGCTATACTTTACTTGAAGTATGTTGGCGTTCGAAAGATATGGTACTTGACACCGGGGGCTACAATGGCAGATGGAGTACATGAAGTGCATTCCGATAAGGATGTGATGGAAAGGTTGCTAGTCGATGCAGCCGGTACTAGGGATGTGTCTGTTTTGTAGAGGCTGTCGAGGTGGAGGATGGCCTGGTGGGAGACAATGAGGAACCAGACTTGTTTCAAGGTTTGCCGAAGGAAGCTGAAGATATTGGTGAGGGCTCGGTTGCGAGAAAAGTAATCTGACTCGCTATGATACAACTCCTAACAATGGCCAAGTCTAACCAATGGAAGGGACTGCAGTATAGTGGCTCAAGTAATAAATATCGAATCCACGGGTCTCTAGAGATACTATTACTCAGCTTCAGTTTATTATTTAGCAAACCAGATTAATAAGGAAGAAATAAAACTACTCTAGCAAACTACAGTTAAAGTTAATCTAATTACAGGTTGGGAACTCACTTAGGTATGATTCCCCCCTAGCCACTAACCAGATTAACGATTGATGATTTCTAACTTGTTTCACTTTCATTCACAATGCGGAGAATCCTTGACTAGACCTTGAGTCTCGACTAAAGGAACAAGGCCCTCTTGAGTCAATTGCCTAGAGGGACGTATCCTTCTCTAGAACAACCGATCAAGGCGTTCTGAACTAGATTCCCTCTATCAAATGAGGTTCTCAATCGATACAAAGCAGTGAATCAACCCTCGACTAAAGCAATCGATCCACTACTATCAATCTATGGTGCTCTATTGACCTAATAAGGTATTCGCTTTCATAGGATCAAAGCAGAATCAATAATCTCGACTAAAGCAGAATTGAATCATGAAAACAGGCATAGATTGAATATGAACTCAAGATTATCAAGTAGGAGTACTCATACAATCATCCAATCAAACAAAAATAGCTAGGGTTCCTCAAAACCTAAGTGAAGGGAAGTTACTCCATAGAGAGGAGAGAGACTGCAGTAAGAAGCTTCAGATGATCAGTCTTCAAGTTCGGGCTTGTTCCTCGAGCTTCCTAGGTGAAGAAATCCTCCAGTTCCACTCGAAGAATGCCCTCTAATCTCCCTCTCTCTCTTTGGTTCGTCCCTTGGGTGTTTGGGATCCAAAACCCAGCTTTCCCTTTTCTTTTGCTTCAATCTACCTCAAAAACCCGATTCTGGGCAAAACACGGTCGAGGACACGGCCGTGTTTTGCTTTTTCCCGTCCGTGCCCTTGCCACGTGTTAAAAACACGCCCGCGTCGGCCAAAACACTGTCGTGCCTAAATATGGACACGACCGTGTTATGCTTTAGGCCATCCCGTGTTATGCTTTTCCATCAGTTCAGCTCTCGCACATAAAAACACTGGCGTGCCTGTTTGTGTACACGGTCGTGTTCTTCAGGCCTCCTGCCCGTGTTTTGCCCCCAGCTCAACCGAATGACCTCCAAACGCCCCGAATCTCGTGCTTAGCCTTTCCTTCGACGTCTGGGACCTGAAATATGACAAAGTAGCACAACCTAGCATAAAACGGGCCAAAAATACACGACTACTAGCCGCAAACGGATAAGAACTAAGGGTGCAAACATGTGTAATTATTGGCATATCAAACTCCCCCACACTTAACCGTTTGCTTGTCCCCAAGAAAACCTAACTCAAACCAATGCAACTCTCCAGACCTCTATAGCAACAAACAACCCCGATCGTCGGTAGAGGATTTTCTAGATCATAAAGCAGCTTACGAGGTCAACTGGTATTCTAAGACGTCCCCTATCTCTCTCAATGCGAGTACTAGACTCAAGCCAGGATCATGAGAAAAAGTAGAAGTAAGACAGTCAGTTCATGGATAAAGGAACTCACACCATTCACAAGCAAGGACTGGTTGTACCAGGGTGCTCTTTCACTTCATTTCATTGTTGGAACCCCTTTCTCACTTTCATTTTACTTTTTTTTTCTTTTCTTTTATTTTCATTCACTTGGCGGGGGTTCCAACTGCAGTCTTTTGCCCGACCGACCCTTATTAGTCGAGCAAGAGCAATTTCTGTACATCTGGCGCTCGCCAGAGTACTTCTTTTAACTCTTTTTCCTCAACTCGTGTGGAGGTTCAATGAAATTAAGGGGGGTTGGAAGCTCAATCCGTGCCCTTAAAAACACATCCTCAAGTAGGCAACCGTTCAACGGGTGGAAGTTTTACTTGTACTAGAGACAACTTAGCTTCACCTTGTAGGAGTACCCCCCTAAGGATCACTAAAATCTCTTCCAAAACCTGATTTTGTGCAATGAACGGTGCCACACACGTTGGACTTACCCCATGTTTAAGATTTAATGATTTCGACATGGAGGACCAACTGCTTTTCATTTTTCACATGAGCACCCTGTTCGATACACGAGTCCATAACACAATCCAAACAGAGTCACCATTACCACATGAATTCAACGGTCTTAGCTCCACTAATTCACAAAATCAACTGGCACAACAGAGAACTAGATAGGAAAAATCTTATACTTCAACATCCTCCATAGTGCTACACTACCTCCCTAGGTTGCACATTACCATAGAGACTGTGATTTCAAAGCATACTGAGCAGGCAATTTGCAAGGAAACACGTACTTGGAGCCCTCAAATTTAAAAATTTGGATAGTGGACTAGGCTCCAAGCACACAAACAACCAAACATTCACCCGCATACAAAATCGAACATCCCCCCACACTTAAGCATGACATTTTCCTCAATGGAGGAAAGATAAGGAGGGTAGAACGAAGTTACCAGATCAAGGTTGAATGATGGTGGACAAGGCAGGCGGTGCATTCCAGGAGGAGAGAGTAGTCGGAACACAAACACCACACAAAATCTCACAAAGGTTGAGTTATTGACTCTAAAATCAAATAACAAAACTGACTCAACCGAGGAGAAATAGAGAAATAAATGCAAACCGAATGGTTGGGTTGCCTCCCAACAAGCGCTTCTTTCACGTCGGGAGCTGGACGATGGCTCCTAAGTTTCGGTCAACCCCAAAACCTCCTTGAAGTTGAGGTTCTCGTCGATGAGGTGGAGTCTTAAGTCACGAGCATGTGGTATGACATGTGATGGAAGCTCGTGCACTTGATGCAGATGAAGTCTCCCCCCTCGAGACCTCTTCCTCTCTTCTCTCGTCTCATTGCCCCAAACCAGATATGACAACATCGATTGACCACCATCGCGTCCACCTAGAGGGACCGATGTCGACGTAACCGTGGTCTAGCAAAGAGACTCTGCAAATGGGTCCTTGCTAAGCAGTTCCTCGAAGTTTGGTGGAAATATCACATGTAACTCATGGCCGGTGCAAACCTCTTCCACCTCAACTTCGTCCCCGGCCTGGACGCCAATTGCTTCTGCAACCTCCCTTCCTTCTTCATGTGGTATCACCCCTGGGAAATGATCAAGACCTCCTTCTACTTCACTTTCGTCATCCTCCACAACTTCTTTTTGAACCCTTTCTCGCTCTTCTTCTTCTAGCACGGAATGGAGAGCAAGTTGCCAAGCAATTTCCTTCATGAGATCTTCTTGCATCTCCTCACTCATGCCCCCCTCTTCAAAGCTCAGTTTGGGATGTGGGAAGGTGTGGTCGGCTACGACAGGACATTCCTGATCATGATCATCACGGGAGCTCTCTATGACAACTTCAGTGTGCTCCACAATGTCCTTGTAGCCTTCTTCTTCCTCCTCCTCTTCTGGTATGGTACCAGAAGGGTGATCTGCAGTAGGTTGTGCATAAGATCGCTCAAGATCATCGACGCTCTTCTTAATGCTCAGGAGGATCTCCTCTGTTTCACGATAGGCCTAGGTACAAAGACCATCCTGGACCATGATCTTTCACTATCTCGAGCAAACTGCTCCATGAGAAGCCTCAATTCATAGTTTGGATCTGGCTGTGGAGTGTAGCATGGCTCTGCAGAATGGCCCGTAAAGGCCGCCATGGGTAACTCCTACGCCGATGGCCCTTCTGGTTGTGGGAGAAAGTCTTCTTGGTAATGAGGTTGTTCTTGATATGCCTAGGGGTCTGATTGTTCTCCGTAGCAAGGGGGTTGGTACTGGAACCCGAATCCATAGTCTTCTCCTCCTTGATTGCTCCAGGGAGTCTCGAGGTAATACGACTCGGATGGTGGTGGACAGGGGCGGACCCAAGGGGTTTTAGGGGTGTCCCCGGACACCCCTAAATTTTGGGAATATGATTATCCAACCCGGTGGTAATTTACGTATGGACAAAAAAAATATTTGACAGTGAGGGACACCCCTGAAATTTGAAAACATGATTATCCTACTGTCATTTGTGTATAGGGATATAAGTGGTAGATTGGGTAATTCAAATCTAGAACACTATTCTTATTAATAAACTTAATTTTCGTTGACCTACAACTCATTTGTTGTTCTATTTTGAAAAATGTAATAGTAAAATGTCATTTCCTATCTCTAGGTTATATCAACTCATTTGTTGTTCTATTGTTGAAAGAGTCTTTCAGTTTTGGGTTATATCAAGAACAAGTATACAAATCGAATATGCGATAAGTTCGTGAATGATTGTCTAGTAGGGTATATAGAGACAATTTTTTTTAACACTATAGACACCAAGTGTATTCTACAATTATTTCCAAATATGAAAACAAATCATGGACTTTTTTAACCTGTACGAGTAAGGTATTTTCAAATTTAAGATTTTATTTTTTATTAATTATTTAATTTAATTTATTTTTAAAAGAGGACAACCCTATGAAAAATTTATGGGTCCTCCACTGGTGGTGGATACCCCCAATGGTTGGAGAAGCCATGAGGATCCATGATTCAGATCTGCACCAACAAAAACAAAAACACCCAAGTGAAAAGCAAGGGTGGAAAAGAAAAGAAAAATGCTAAGTAATAAACTTCTGCCTTTCCTAATACTCTAGAAAGTCCCCGGCAATGGCGTCAAAAACTTGACTCGCTATGACACAACTCCTAACAATGGCCAAGTGTAACCAATGGAAGGGACTGCAGTATAGTGGCTCAAGTAATAAATATCGAATCCACGGGTCTCTAGAGTTACTATTACTCAGCTTCAGTTTATTATTCAGCAAACAAGATTAATGAGGAAGAACTAAAACTACTCTAGCAAACTACAGTTAAAGTTAATCTAATTACAGGTTGGGAACTCACTTATTCACCGAAGCTTGCCGGGTATTGGACAATAAAGCCACCACGACGAGATCTGGGAGGGATGCAGTCAAGAGCCTCGAGTGGAGTTCTGGGATGAGGGAGAATGGCGGAGAAGGTAGGGTTTTTGGCGGGGCGAGAGAGTCAGACCGGGGAGGGAATTACTTAGACGGGGAGAGGCTGGATGGAGGGGGAGAAGGAATGGTCGCCGGACGGAAGGGGAGAGGCTGGGCGGAGGGGGAGAATGAATGCCCCCAATTTTTTCCCCAGCTACTTAATAAAATTAATAACTCAAAGCGGATAAAGCTCAAAAAGTGATTGATGCTTTAGTGCTACAAGAGACGGAAGCCCATCAGCGTTGAATCGCAACAGAATTGTCAGTAAAGGCTCTCTCCCCCTCGGCAAGTAGAGTGACTTCAGCCTAGCTAACTTCCTAAGAATTTTGTAACTTAAAAAAAATGGGAAAATATTATCCGACGTGTACAAATCCTTTCCACATCGGAGTCAACTGACGATTGACCAGACGAAAAGTTAACGATTTGGCTGATAATTTATTTTAAAAAAGGTTTGGTTATTATTTTGTTTAAAATAAAATATTTGGGTATTAAATTGTATTTACCCTTTTTTATTTTATCTACCGTGAAATATATTATTACATGAACTATTTTTTATAAGGGTGACATATGTTGATTTTTAGAATTATGTGCTATTGAAGGATTCGAACATATGACTTTTAGGTTCAACGTTAGTAATATTATCACAAGATCAAGCATTTGTTCGCCAAATAATGAAATAATTGGTGTTCTAACCCTCAAAAATCTTGTCAATAACATTGAAAATAGAAAAGATTAAAAGAAATAATTCAAATCGAATTTTCGTTTGAAATTGTATCGGATATATCTCATATCAAGACTTGATATATGAAGAGGCAATACATTCACCAGATTGGGAGTTCAGACTTCAAATTTCATACGCCTAGTCGCTTATTAGATCCCTTCTCAACCCATGTTAAACTTTACATTTATGTTGTTGCTCATCTTTAATTATGACGTTAAGATTTCTTCATGAGTGTCTCATACTAACATAACTCCTAAATCAAATATACAGAACATTGAGATTGCGTGACGACTGACTTGCATCCCGACTCGCCGAAGGGACCAGCTTTACCACCTAGGCTAAAGGGGCCTCCACTATTTCAGCAACAATTGGAGGTCTGAGAACGACTGGTTCTGACTCTGGCTCGTTGCAACTTGCAGTACTGTACCTGGATAGGAGGCTCTTCATTACTGGAAACTTCATGCAGTGTCTTGAAGAAACGTTAAACCTACAACCCAGTTGTTTTTGGTTCCCGTTAGTACTGGATAGTGTTGGGGAGAAAGAAAACAGTAAATCACACAACTAGAACTTGATCGTGGAGAAAAAGGATACACAAAATTCAACCACTTTTTTTCGTATGTGAAAGAAACATAGTGAAACATCATATCTCTATTTAGAGCAAAACTCATCGAGAAACATTTTACACAGAGAACGGGTGAACTAAAATCTCCAGGCAATGCAACCTAAGAGGAGAGGATACTTACATCCCCCACCGGTCCTTATTGCACAAGAAGAACACTAAATCAATGGGAATAAAGGACACCTGATATTACATTACATGTATTGCTCTTTCTGGGTCGTAATAAGATTCTTTTCTTCTTTTTGTTCTCTGCTTTCTTGAAGAAAAATTGTCAGCGGCTGAAAATGAAGGGTGGATTTGAGTCTCAAGACGGGAACCATTCCAAGCGAAAGGGGACGGGAGCAGTTGCTAGACCAAGCAAGCAGCAAGCCTACTTCCAGATCTTAACACATTTGTCATGGCTTGCAGAGGCAATCATCCCTGTAACAGGAGATGCTACCAGAGCTGATATGACACAGTTGTGAGCTGGAACTGTCATGCACTTGTTCTCTGCCATGTTCCACAGCTCCATTGACTGAACAAATAGTGACGATTAATACTATAAGTTAAGAATTACCACCTCTGAATGAAAGCAATCAGGATGTGAATTCTGAAAGCAAATGATAAGGTTCTTAAAAGGCTAGGGATGTCAGTGAGATTCATTGAATGTGAGCAGAGCAAGAGTTGTGTGCTACTGTTAAGATACCTGATAGCTCCCAATGATTAAGAGAGTCGAGAAGGTTGGGTGGTAAACACAAGAATGGAACTTGTTCCCACTGGAAGTAAGTTCATGAACGCACTCTCCGGAGGCCAATGACCAGACCCTGACAGATTCCTGACTTGCAGATGCCAAGAATTCTCCATTGATATCCCAGCAAACAGAGTGCACCTCGGTGGCATGCCCCTGGTTTCAGGAAGATAAACAACCATTCGGGAATTAACATTTGGAGACACATCTTTATTTATTAACACTTCTCTTGCACTGGTGGTTTACTATTAGTTAAGACCTTTACCTTCAAAGAGTGAGTCTGTCTGTCAGTCTCAACGTCAAAGACGGACACAACATTCTCTGCTGCAGCAGCCAGTAGTTGTCCAGTTCTTGGCTGAAACCTAACTTGTGCTGTACCTCCCTGCTCCCACAGGATGCCCAGATATTATCAACCACATTACAACTTTTCTTCCTCATATAAAATAAAATAAAAAATAGTACAGGTTTCTAAGGCCAACCTTGGATACGCGAACACAAGAATACTGATTCATGTTCCAGAACCGAATCTCGTTATTACCGTCACAGGAGCAGAAAAGGTCATACTTCCTTGGATGGAAGTCAAGGGACATCACATGAGAGGTGTGTCCCGTATAGGACTGCAGCGGGTATCTTGGCTGCAAAGGATAAGCCATGCTAAGCGCGACTAGCAACATTATTATTAAAAATCATACCCAAAAATCAACGTGCAGAACAAGACCTCTTCTGTTGAAATTTTTTGGATTCGAGATTTGGGTCTTATGATATTCAGCACCAGCATACACAAGACATAGCACAAAAGACATATATTCTCACAGGCAACTACTTCTATTGAATAAATAATTACAGTATCATTTCAATACAAAATGTAATTCAAATTTTGTTGCAAATTTGGGACTTTCAGTTGATGTATTGTTCACATATCATCACAAACAGAAGCAAACACCCAAAATATGATATTTGCAACACAGTTCATGAGTCCGCAGCAAAACCTAAAAGAGTAAACGAAATACAACTACAAGTCTACAATAAACAAAGCACAGACAAGACAGGGGGGAAATGAAAAGCTATATCAAGGAGGGTATCCCCTAATTGCTAGAAATGGAAGACAGACTTATGTGAGTGAAGTTGGTCGAGAAAAATTTACCTCTGCTGCATCCCAAAGTTTCACAGTTGTATCAAATGAAGATGTTGCCAGCTGGGTTGAATTTGGCCTAAACCGCACATCAGTTATGATGTGGGTATGATCTTCAGGAGTACTCTCAGTTTTCAGGGTTTCCATATTCCAAAGAACAACCTATTCAGAAGAAATCACACACAACCATATCAACACTTATTAACTGTTAAATCTATTAGTAACAAGACAATGTCCTGTAGCTTTCCTTGTACCACAGCTGCACCAGTCCCCAATTTGACCCAACGAATTAACAAAAGCAAGATAACTAAAGTTCACTCAATATCAGAAATTGAAAATTAAGGTCACCCTATCCACTACGAAGCATTGTACCTTCTTGTCATGACCAGCACTAGCTAACCACTTGCCATCTGTAGAGAAATGACAGCAGACAACTTTGCTATTGCTTTCACGTATAGAACCAACTTCATTGAAAGAAAAACCTGCGAAAAAAGGAAGTTATAAACAGGGTAGTTGGAAGAATGGTTGAAAAGGGGGTTCATTGGGGGCAGAGATACTCTTAAAAAGTTACAACAGTGATTACCCTTTGAAGCTTCAGCATGCTCAGAGGGGTTCTTCTTTAATGTACCAAATAAATCTCTTCCATCTCCTTCCTCCTGCGATAGGAAAGATTCAACATCTCCAACATCTCCAAAGTTCTCTATGTCTTCCTGCAATCAAAACTAACAGAAATTAGTATTCATGCACCACTTTATCTCAATGGTTATGCCTATTCAAGAAAATAGGCATGCGAGAAAAATCATATCAACTTCAGAAGACTCCCTTCTGCAGCAGAAAATCAGAATACTCAAAAGCTTCTACGGTTAGAGTTCAAAGTTAATTGTACATACCAGCTGATTGGTGGATGATGCAAGAGCTCCAGCACCATCCGCAGCATACATCATCATGCCTTTGGACATGTTACTGACATGCTGCATATTGTTGGGAGCAGTAATTCCATCACCAGGAGTATGCGTTGATGGTGTTGATGGCTGAGAATTAGGTCCAACTGTGTTTGCTGTGCCAGTACTATTAGCAGGTCCAGAAGATGAAGGTCCTTTCCTCTTCCGGTTACTCTATTAATCATATAACAGGGATCAGTCATTGTCTGAGTGGAAATGATATATGCAAGCTTTTTTTAGGCAATTAACAGGCACAACCTGCTGCGGTTGCTGTGGTTGCAAAGGATCCAGTTGTTGAGATGATGATTGCTGCATTGGTGGTCCATTCATCTGCTGGGATAATGGAATAGAACCAATCAGTAAAACAAAAATTACGTGTATAATGTACTTCTGATGCATTCAGTGCAAAAAGCTTACTTTTGATGAAGTTGATTGCATTGGAGAACCAATGGATCCATCGTTTCCATTTTGCTGGCCATCTTTGGGATTCAAGGCACCTCTAGGCAATCCTCTTAACTTTTGTGGATCCATGTTAGCATAAATCTGTGAACCAGCCAAATTGCCTTGAACTTGGACCTGTGCCAAGAGCTGTTGTTGCTGCTGCTGTGGCAGGAGTTGGAACTGACTTTGTAAAATAGGAGGCCTTTGAGCTTGTGGACCTAAATTTGGTCTAATCTGCTCAATTCCCTGTGCAAGTGACAAAGAGTCGAATTGATTGTCACCAGAAAGTTGATTCTCATTGGATCTTTAAAAATCAAGTTCCAAAAGGGAAATAAAGCAGACTTACAGTTAACGGCCATCCCTTCAATGGAAGACCACTAACAGCAGGGTTCAATCCTGATCAATAAGTGAACAAAAAAGCACCGTGAAATTATTCAAAGAGAAAAAAAAAACTTGAGTTAGCATGTCAAGAAATCAGGGTATAGTTGCTGAGTATATGATCACATTCGTTGTCAAGGAATCCATCAACAGTAAGGATTTGGAGTTTGTACCTGCATTTCCCATCCCAGGTTTTGATTGCATAATTCCTTGACTGTATATAGAAGAAGGATCCATTGGCAAAGATCTCTGAGCAGCCCCAAGGTTGACTTCACCTTTTATGTCCTGCAAATCCCATTGAGGAGGTTGAAGATTGAACCGGACAAGCTAAAGAAAAAGTGACAGAATAAAAAAGCCAAATAAATGTTGCAACAAGTTGTCTCAGTACTCACGTTGGTCTGCTGGGTTCGTGCTTGGATTTGCTGCAATGCTGCGGAGACACTCCCAGGATTTCCTTGGACCAACTGGCTGTGTCCACATAGAAAAGTCAGCATGCAAACTGTGTAGCAAATAAGATTATGAAACCAAGAGTAGATTTACCCAGGGTTGTTGGATGCAGATTTTAGGAAGGCCATCCTTGGATCAAGAAGAGGTTGAGATGTTTCAGAGTCCATTTGATTCGAGTGTTTCATACGATCTTCATACATTTTCGCAGCTAATGCGCTCGCATTTGGTTGCCCCAACATACCCTCGGAACCGATGGCATTGACCTGACCTCCAAGTGCTGAAGTATTAGGACCTCCACGTTGCATCTGTGCTTGACGCATCAACTGTAACTGTTGCATTTGCAGCTGTTGTTCCTTTGCCTTTATTTGTTGTGCCTTAACAGGTTACACAATGCATTCCTTACCCATCAGTATATATTGCACAATCAACAAACAGAATGAGGACCTCAATGAAATCTATAAAAAAACTACCTCTATATATGCAGCTGCAGCCTCGGAATGTTTCTCATTTGTCCTAGCTATAAATATGTCCCAAAACACAGACCACCACTCAAATAGAAACCCTCCTGGAGCATCAATAGCTGCACAGAGAAGTTAGAATTTAGAAACCTGTTTGTGGGAAGCGAATTGTTTATCACAAGTCAAACACCGAAAAAGCTGGGCCAAAAATTAGGAAGCTTTACTAACCTACAGGATCAGGGGAAACTTTCCCTTCAGTCATGAAGGACTTTGCGGTATTATGCAACTTCTTCTTCACCAAATAATCGTATATGTACACATCAAGCCTGCCAATTTCGCCCACAAGAGAAAAAAGATACTAATTATAGCAAAAGAATCACAAAATCGAGCTTGAAAAGAGCATTCACTCACTGCAAGTAGAGTAACAACAGCAATGTCCGAGCAGAACTCACATCTTATCTGCCTCCCAATTACTTTGCGCCATTTTGGTTCTACTTCAGCTTGAACAATAACAACAACCAACGACACAAGCGATGAACTCACAGAATCAATTCAAATCGAGTTAGACGAGCAAAATTGCCAATTAAATCCGAATTCCAATTCAATGAACTGGCCTCTTAAGTCAGAACCCAGCTGGCTCGATCAAACCGACATTACTAATCTCGCCGCATTCAGCAGTGATCATGCAATCGATTCAGAATTGAGCAAGCTGAAACGATACAGAATCGGGAAATTGTCAGGCCGGAGTAGGGGAGATTGGATCTCAAACCACAATGGCCTGCAGCCGCAATCCCTTTCACTGGGAAATCCTCCGAGCTCCCGAAGACGGGACGCGGTTGGCGCGACTTGAAGCGGCAGAATCAATGGAAGGATCAGAAGGAGAGGTTGATTTGCACTAGGAACGTTGACGAACCACCGAGAGGGGAATGGGGGAGAGAGAACGACTGGGGTTTCCTTTGATAATTGGTTTTGGGGTTAATGACCGTATGGTTGGGCTGTCAATTTGGTTTGGTTTGGTGGTTTGGTTAATCAAACCATTAAGTATGAAAAACCAAAAACCAAATCCCAAAAATCAAAATCATTAAGGTCTTTATTGGTTTTGGTTTGGATAACCAAAAAATCAACATGTACTCATACACTCATATTTATTCATCTTTCCCTCCTTTTTATTGAATAAGGGGTCGTTTGCTTCATGGATTTATAAACAAGGGTTTTGTAATTTAAAAACCCAAGGATTTATCAAGGATTTGAGGCATCATGGATTTGTAACAATCCTTTGTTTGTTGGGATGTTTTTATCATGGATTTAAAAGTGTGGGATTTACTATTTGAAGTCAAAAATTACATTACTGCCCTTTTTTATATGTTTGACATGTTTATGATATGTACACAAAACAAGGACAAAACTTCAAAATTACCTTACTATCATTTTCTATATGTTTGACATGTTTATGATATGTAGACAAAACAAGGACAATACATACTAATAAGCATAATGTTGCCACATGGACAATAATAATAAACGAGAAAATTCCGTTTTAACTTTTAACGTAACATAATCAATTACCAATTCTTTGTCCTCCTTTTCAAAAGTAACATATAACAACATATTTTAGAATCGGGAGAACAAAGAATTACACGTTGCATGAAAAGGTCAAAGAAAACTAGAAAACAAGAAATGATATAAAAAATCTAACTCATGTTTGCACATTAATTGAACGTTTATATTATTCATTTATTGTTAATTATAATGTATAATAGTTAAATTTGGGGGCAACCTTGGAATATTAAAATTGCATGAGGGTATATGGGTAAAATGTCATCAAGGATTTATGCCATATTCCAAATCCCACATCAACATGTGGGATTTATAAGTCCTCTGTGGGCCCCACGGATTTGGTCTCCAAAAAAGGTGCAAGCAAACAACGGATTGTACCTAAATCCTTGATAGTTGGTTTTGGTACCAAATCCATGTACCAAATCTTTGAAGCAAACGACCCCTAAATGTCATAATGATAGTAAATGGCAATTACAAATTATTGGTTGGCATGTGTGTCAAAAGAAACAAAACAAAAAAAAATAGTTGTTGATAAATAATTTTATTCTTATTGGCAATGTTGTCAGAACCGAACCAGAGTACGACCCGGAAACGTGAACGGTTCGGTCTTTAGTGGTCCAGCCGGCATTAGACCGTTTAAAAACCGTTTGAGAACCGGTACCTAATAAACAGTTATCTGTATAAATAGTTGACACTTCTTAATCATGGTAAATCACAAGTAAATTACTCTCTTAAACAATTCTAGAACATCAGTACCGAAATATCTAAATTTCAATTCCAAACCACCACATTGTTCCAAAATAAAAGCAATATCACACGAGTCTGAACATGAAACAAGAGTCTTAAACATGGAAACCACTCAAAGTCTCAAACTTAAACAATTATCAAATACAACTTCAACATCATTTCATTCACCATCACTAGACTTTAACACCATTCATTCACCATCAGCATCGTATGAATCACTGCTTGAAGACGCCATGTCAATTGCTGTGCTACCATCATCTCCATCATAATCTAATAAGTAAAAAAAAATGTAAGAAATCATGTGTTAAAAATATATCAAAGTTGAACATTCTTCATTTACTAATATGTCAATCCAACCTTCATTGCCACCTCTTTTCCTACTTGTAGTTCCATTTCCTTCAGGAATGTCAGTAGCATTATCCTCACCCATAGCTTGCATCAACTCATCAAAGCTAAGATCTGGAGGTTGATCCTCTTCCTCATCCATAACCCAAAATTCAGTGGCATTAATCCATTCATAGTCAAATGGATCAACCAAGAACTTACTTTTTCTAGTACGAGACCTATGAATGATTAAATACAAGTCAAGTATGTCACTATTTCATGGCAAAAATATTTTGTACTCAAATCAAACACATTTGCTATTCATCACATACCTCTTTGCTAGCTTCATGTTGTAGTTCACATGGACTAGATTGCTTAGTCTTTCATGCTCTATCTTGTTCCTCTTCTTGGTGTGAATCCGCTCGAACACAATCCAATTTCTTTCACATCTAGAAGAGGCAGAAGTTTGGCTTAGGACTCGAAGTGCAACAATGGTGCTTACCACATGACTTGCTTTCAACCAATTAATCACAGGAGTATGATTATAAACAAAGACAGTGACTCTTCTAGCCTTTTGAATGACAGCCTTCACATTATCCAATTCTCCAAAATCACCCAATATCAAATTCATGCAATGAGTTGCACATGGGGACCAATAAATATGTGGATAAGTCTTATGAATAATCTTACCACATGACTTGTAGTTAGCTGCATTATCAGTAACCACATGAACCACATTGTCCACGCCAATCCACTGAATTGCTTCATCAAATATCTTGAAAAGGTTCTTTGCATTCTTCACAATCTTTGTTGCATCAACAGATTTAAGAAAACAAAGACCTCTAGTACAGTAGACCAATAGATTGACCAAGCTTCTACCTTGTTGATCAGTCCAACCATCAGCCATTAAAGTACATCCACGCTGTCCCCAAACGGCTCGGTGTTGATCAACAATTAGCTGGGTTTCTCTCTTCCAATCAGCATGTAAAGGCACCCTTAAATCATGATATGATGGTACCTTAAATCCTGGACCAATAGCCATTGCAGCATCAAACATCCTCTGCCAACTATCTAAGTTAGCTGCATTAGATTGACACCAATGATAGGATCATTAGATTGCTTGTCACCAATGATAGGATCATTAGATTGCTTCTTCCCATCTTTCTTTTCTTCAAATTCTTTAAGAATATTGGCAAATCTCAGACGCACATCATAGGGAACTTTTGAACATTTCACAATATTCCCTTTTGAAGAATGAGCAAGATGCTCTTTCATCCGATGAATACCCCCTCCCCTTTTCTCAATTCCACATAGCATGCATTTGAGTGCCTTTACCTTCCCATTATCATCTTTGAGTTCTTGAATGTAATTCCAAGCAGGATCATTCTTTCCTCGATCAGCTTGCCCAGTTGAAGCAGTAGAGCTCGGTGTTGTTGATTGAGTACCACTATATGGATTTGGAGTACTCATCTACAAAAGAAACATCGAATCAGCAAATTTACAATAGTAAATCTAACAAGTAAGCAAAAAAAATTGCTAAATGGGACAGGGAATAAACCATTACTAATCTAGCTTCTAAGTAGTATTAGGAACTACATCACTTTTTATCCCCACATTCTTTAATATGTTTTCTCAGCATCTTCCTGTCTTTTTTGTGCAGCAAGATTACATCGCTATTATTGATTGCCTCCCCTAACTCAAAACTGAAAGGATTTACAGCCTCCAGCTGGTTTGTACTTGGGATGTGGCGAGATTCAATGGACTCAGCTATATCTCTTATTTATAGGTTGATTGGATTCTATTTATATTGCTGACTGGCTAGCTTGTGTCATTTTCAACATCGTTACTAGCTAGCTGATCATTGATTCAAACGGAAACCACCAACCAACCCAAATTTAGCCTCTATCCATATATACATATATCAATGCCATCCCTACACATGACAACCACATTTTCGGTTGATTGGAATGTTTGGACGCTAAATAGAATCCGTAACTAATAAATAATTAACAGGAGTACATATATTCAATTATTCAGTGTGGCAGGGAATAATCAGTCCATGTTTTATACAACTATACAGGGGGTAATCGATCGGAAAATGCAGGCAGACCTCACCGGGGGTAATCGATCGGAGTAGTAATGGTAATGGAGAACGGGGAAGGGAAGGGAAGGGAGGCCTCACTGGGGCACTCGCCGGCAGGGGCTCGCCCAAATCGGAGGGAAATGGCAACGGGGAACGGCGCTGGGGAAGATGGCGATGGCGACAGGTCTGGGGAAGATGGCGATGGCGACGGCGACGGGTCTGGGGAAGATGGCGACGGCGCTGGGGAAGCTGAAGTGCAGTCCAGATGCGACGGCGACGACGCTGGGGAAGATGGCGATGGCGACGACACTTCTTGTCTCCAGGCTCTCCACGAAGAAGAAGATGGCGAACGAAATTTGGGAATTAGGGTTCTGCCTGACCCCGACCCACCTTCCCCTTTAATTTTCGGTCTTTTAGTTTTTTTTTTAATTACACCAACCGGCTGAATGTAAAAAACCGGACGACCGGCTCGAGCGGCTAACCGCTTCGGCCGCTCGCCGGCCGCCCCAAAGAACCAGTCCGGCTAAATAGCTGATCCGAGCCGGTTTTGTGCCCGGTTGGCGGTTTTGGCGGCTCGGCCGGCCGGCTCGGCTCGGCTTTCACAACACTGCTTATTGGTTTCTTAATGGTTTCTATTGGTTTTTCGGTTTTAACTAAACCAAAACCATTAAGTTGCTTATTGGTTTAAAACCAAAAAAACTGAAACCATTAGCTTTTCAATTGGTTTGGTTTTGGTTAAAACCAAAAAACCAAAACCAAATGGACAGCCCTACCGTATGGTCACCGTATCAGCTATATATGACATATTAGCCACTGAATTCCTACTTGAGACAACGAAAGCACGAAACTTGACAAATTAAACTGCATTAGTCACTCCATCACTTTTTTTTATCCAAATTGGTAAAAATCTTCTCAATCGCTATTCATCGTCCTAAACTTAAAAAAAAATCGCCCTAAACCACACTAAATTGACACATATACCCTAACTTCAAACCCTAACTAAACCGTATCAAACAATTCATCCCCAACCCCAAACCAGACTCTCATCTCGGAGAAAAACCGTCGTCCAACCCAGAACTGGTCTCCACCGCCGACCAAAGAATTGTTTATGTAGAGTTGACCTGCTGCAAGATTCACTCCTCGCCGCCACCGCTGCCGCCAGCAGTCGCTTCCCATCACCGTTGCTGCCACCAGGAGTCTCTCCCCGTCACCGTTGCTACCGCAAGAGTCTTCTCCCCGCCGCCGTTGCTTTTCATGGTTGTTGGCTGATTTTTCATGGTTGATGTCCTCATCCCGCCAGCGACGTGTGAGAAGGGTTTGAGCACGTCGTTTGTTTTATCTTTTAATTAATATTGATTATCATTATCATTTAATTATAATTAATGTGTGATTTATATAGTAAATTAATATGTGATTACCTTCTGCTCTTCTTCTTCATATGGTGATAATGACGATGATTAGGCCT